CGATGGAATCCGAAACGTCAGGAAAATAAAGTCCTCGTTCCAGTGATCGCATTTTCTTCTTCTGCCTACATGGTTCTTCTACACCCGCCACGCACGACCTTTAGAACAGCAAATATCCCTGTGTATCATAAGCGCTGCTCAGACTTTACAGCAACGAGATCAGTAGGTTAGGCGGGTATATCGACCCAAATGTGATTAAATTTACGGCTCACGGTGAGCCTCGTAGCTGAATGATAGAGCGTTGGCCACGCAAAAGCCCTCCCTACTGTGTGGGTTCAACTCCCACCGAAGTCGCGAGTTTTTAAAAATTGGATCAGTTGAATTATTCAAAAATCTGCCAAATCCCCCGAATAATTATTTTAGCCTAGTGAAAATTCTGGTGGATTCTAGATAATTGCCTAGGAAATCCTGCCTGCGCAGTTAGCTTGCTTTATCTGTAATGGTGGATTCTATACGATCGTTAGGTTGGGCGGGTTAATCGGCCCAAGTGTAATTAACTTCACTAGTCATAGAGAGCTTCGTAGCTCAATGCTAGAGCGTTGGCTGCGCAAAAGCCTTCCCTGCTGTGTGAGTTCGACTCCCACTGAGGCCTCGACTTTTTTCACAAATCGGTCAACTGAATTAATAAAATTAGCCAAACTGCTCTAATAATTACTATAAAAGTCAAATAGAGAAGCCCTTAGAGCCCTACTCTCGGTCCTCCAAAATCCTCCCCTCAGGATCGGGTAATAATGTCAGCTGCCAATATTCCTAGCCCTGAACCCTAGCGCATCATGTTAGAGTCAAGCGTGTGACCTTCTTTAAAGTAAGGAATTCACTGATTTTCCGTCGTAGCGGGGCCCACCATACATGCACACAAGGGTAACTGATGAAAACCACATCATCTAGTGTCTGTTCCATATTAGGAGCCATCTGAACCAAATAGCGCTGTGTGAATGCAGAAAGCCCGCGAACGTTGTCGTCTGCATGCAGGCTAACTACCCGGCACCGGAAACAGACCGAAGAGCGTAAGCAGCATCTCTGACTAATAACCCTAATGTTAAGAGTACGTGAGTGTCAGCCAAGTAAAGAGACGCCCAGTAGATGGCTTGTACACACAAAGTAGACCAGTATTTCCCACGTCTTGAACCCTGGAGAAGACCGTTGGGCGTGAACCGTGAGACAGAAATCGAACGCAGGTTGTCAAGTGAATTGACTGATTTCTGTTTACGTTGAAGTTTGTAACCCTTCAGCACAAATGCCGTTGCAGTTGCCAGGGCAAGGAAAACGGTTATATCAAACTCGCAAAATCTACTTCATGAAAAAGACATACTCAGTTTCTCAGCTCTTGTTACTAAATGGCGCCCCCCAGAGCTGTCTACGTGACTCTTCATAATTTTCCATTAAGGAAAAGAGGATGTTGGAATTTCGTTAAAAAGAGCAGACTTTGAGCAAAGTAAATGGATCAGGTTTTGTCAAACCTGGGGTTCCTTTTTCCATCGCAGCCTAGCACAAATGTAAACGCACATGGTTCCGTGGCTCAGTAGCAGATCCGCCTACACAAGGTTCTGTTATTCTTGCGTTTGGGCTGGTCTGCAGCTGAGTGCCAATGAAAGACAGAAACGGACATTTCAGTCAGTAGCGTACAAGGACTGTGTTCAGAATGCCACAGTAATCACGATCCAGGCCCAGTTTAGAGAAGTAGGGCCCTCTAACAATAGGACGTGTTTATCCCGCACAGAAACTTCGTGGTATTCAGATTCCCTGCGCGGTACTTCTCGCTAGGAGCATATGGGATGTTAGAGAATATGTGTCTTGTACGTGTTAGCCAATGCTAGTTTCGTGAGTTGATTGGGTTATAGTGAAACGTGTTCGCACCTGCGATTGGTTGTCCTAAACGAAGCACGTCTACATGCTCTGGCCACTGAAGCACAATGACGACACAGTACCTCGCACGACGTTGGTGCCAGAGGCGTAAGGCTTACGCGTGCTCGAGGCATTACACGTCAACAAGCCAGTCTCCCGAAATAAATTTCCCTTTTAGCTCAACCATCCTAATTTTTAGTTATATAAATCGAAGAAAGGCTGTACAAAACCTATGTGTGTGTTCGACCACCGTAATCGGTGATGTCCACCATTTGCCCGAGAGCAGGGACGGTGGCTGTGGCCAGGTATAGTGAAAGTAGACGAGCCGCCATCTATCTCACTCTAAACCTTCATCTGCTTTAAACCGGTGACAAGACAAAGTCGAGATGACCGAGCAAGAACCAGGCGTAAGCCGCTTTCTCCAATGCAGCCTGAAACACCGTCTTGCTTAGCCTTTAGTGACAGTTGACTTTGCGCGGGTACTACTGCACTGTCTACCCTCACTCACCTATAGTAGGTGTCTAGCCCGATTCTAAGGCGCACTGTCTACCCTCACTCACCTATAGTAGGTGTCTAGCCTGATTCTAAGAAGCCAGGACTCGTACTGCTACTACCACTACTGATATTTCTAATACTACTACTAGGGTGCAGCTGAGCGATATTTTTGCTGGTATTATTTCAGACTGTATTGTTAGTCAGAAGTGACGCTGGTTAAATTCAGCACAGGGTTCATATCGCCTCAATGTCATCAAGAAG